TAATCACGGGCGACTTGACAACACGGGAAAGACAGAAAATGGAAACGCCCCCGGCCCAGACTCTCTTTGCAGCCCATCCAGAAGGAAGGACCTCAACCACCAGCGGGCCAACTCGCTACAACATCGGCCCCCTGACGAGTATCTTCACACCTCCTCGTCATTACTCAGATGAGTGCATTACGGAAACACGTTGAAGACGACAATCACGGGCCATCCCGATGATTTGACCGTGTGGCATTCAGTGGTGCAACTGATGTGGCAGTCGAGCGATATACCAGCTTCTACCGTCACGACAACCAAAGAAGTGCCGAGGAGCACCACAACCACCAGCAGCTTAACGACCAGTACTTTCAAAACCAGCACATCCGAGACCAGCACTTCACTCGAGACCATCACGACACCCATTACCTCGCCTACGAACGCCCCAACCACCACCCTCTCCATCGCTACCAGCTCCACCACCGCTCCCTCCAGCATCCTTCCGGCTCTCCCCTCCTCAACGCCCAACCGTGCATCCGCCAAGACAGTACCAACAAGCAATACAACTCGCCTTCCCTCATCAATCCAATCCGCAGCCGCCTCAACCAACGGCCCCAAGTCCGAATTATCCGCAGCCCACCTAGCCGCAATCATCACCTGCACATGCGTCATTGCCATCGCTCTAGGGGTTGGCTTCGGGGTGTGGCTCGCCCGACGACGAGCGAGAAAGAATATCACCACACCAGATCCTCAACCGGAGATAACCGAAGAGACCAACGCCAGGAATACCCCTTCAGAAGACCCCAACGAAATCATGGGGAGGGAAGCCCCCGAGATGGACGCGGTGACACCTCCAACGGAACTGATGGGGCCGCGAACAGGGTCCAGGGCGGAGGGGAGGTTCGAGCTTCAGACCGATGTGATTTCGCCGTTATCCGCGGGTGGGACGGGCGATCCGGTGTTTTCTCCGACAGAGCACGGGGCTACACACCGGCAGGCTTTCGAGGGCACAGAAGTCGGTCAGCCAGGGGCTCAACACGGGGCACATCTGGGGACGGAGCAAGGAAACTGGCAAGGACAACCAGGTTCACAATTTGAACAGTCGCATTGGAATCTCCAACAGGGACGGCATGTAACTTGAACCGAGCTTTATTACACAACTCATGTACTTTTCTTGGAGATAATGTCACCCCATGGTCAAGGTAGCCCTAATCCAGTCTAGGTATGCACTCCGAAATAACATAAACAACGCCATGCAAAGATGCCCCTGCCCTGATATTTTACCCAAGCATCCTCAAAAGGACAAAATCCAACATCCGCTCGCTCTGGTATCCAAAATGCAAAGTATTACAAGAAAATGTGACGTTCAATGCCAAATTACAGCATCATGAGGCCGGCCGCCGCCGCAATGGCAGCTGCTCCGAAGCTCAGGGTGTTCCGGCCCGCCGCGGACTGGCCCGTGGCGCCGGGAAGCCTGCCGGTAGCAGTACCGGATCTCCCGCCAGCAGGGCCAGGTCCAACGTCTGTGGCGTCTGGGCTGTTACCGGTGAAGATGTTGTTCGGCTTGCGCGTCGCAGTAGCATCGAAGCCGAAGCCGACCTTCGTTGCCGAGGGAGCAGCAGTGCAGTCACCCGTCACCGAGGGCACGGCGTTCGAGCCACTGCCGATCGACACGATGTTGGAACCGCAGTTGGCAGCCTGTGCGAGGTGCAGGTTGCGGTTGTCCTGGTCGTGCACGACATAGGCGGCGCGGAGGAACGAGTCGCCCAGAACGGGCTCGTCATCGTCGGGGAGCACACCCAGCACGCATATCCCGCTGACTTGCCAGATGAAGTCGGCATATGTGACGGCAATTTGCTTGTTGTTGAAGTAGAAGTCGACAGAGCCGGGCTGGGAGGCAACGTCGCAGTCGACGACGTAGAAGCCGCTGGTGGGGTCAAACTGGGCGCCGGGGAAGCTCTCGCCGAAGGCCTGGAAGATGGGAGTGGGCAGACGGCTGAGGGTGCCGCCCGAGTCGGGGAACACAGCGACCTCGATCTCGCCGGACCGGTCGGATGTGCCGTCGGGTAATGTGATGCCGACGCCAGTCAGGACGATCCAGTATCGGTCCGCGCCGCTCTTGATCTGTGAAGGGTCGACCATGGGGAGCTTCTCGAGCTTGCCCACGAACTTGCCTGTGTCCAATCCACCGAAGATGATGGCGCCCTCGGGCTCTGTGACGCCCCGCAGGTCCAAGCTGAAGGCGCGGGACTTGATGACGCCCTGGGACTTCATCGTGTCGAGAACGAACGGATACAAGTCGGGGTCCTTCGGGTTGATCGCTGGGGAGAGGCCAAGGATGCCGAGCGGGATATCGTGGGACTCGAGTCCAACGCCAAAGATCTGTTCGGTGATCTTGACGGCTGGGGAAACGCCAAAGTCAGCGCGGTCGTGGGAGGCGGGGAAGGGGACGCAACTTACAGCCAATGGCGACGGTGTCGGTGACGTACTCGATCGTGACATTGCCCTTGCCGTAGCTAAGCACATCGGCGAAGCCCGTGGTCTTGAGCGAGGAGCTCTTTGTGTAGTCGAACTGCGGGTACTTCTTGCACTCGGACGGGATGTTGGCGGTTGTGCAGCTTGGATTGACCCAGAGATCGGGGGAGCCGGTGTCGAGAATGAGCGTCAGCGTTTGCGCCGGGGTTCCGATGTCGACGTCAATCGCGTATTGTGTTCCTTGTCGGTGGTTGGAGACTGGCGCCTCGAACTGCCGGCGCCGAAGGCTCGGGATGCCGGAGATGGCGTTGACGCTGGCCCGCAAAAAGCCGTCGCCCCGCGTAATCACGGAGCGCGGTCGTTGCGATTCCGCCGCCGCAACCGCTGGCGACAGGAGCGCCAAGGAAAGAGCGAGGGGCAGCATCATGACATCAAAGAGATACACAAAAAAACTATTGCCCGAAATCAAGAGATACCCGTGCGGTAATCACGATGCCGCAGCCTCAGGAACGCCATGATGCAGTCGGCTTTATACAAAAGGGGCTGCATCGTCACGGAGGAGCTTGCAGCTTGCAGCTTGCATCCTCCATTCCGCATTGGAGGCGACCAGGTGTCTCTCTGCTCAGCCGCAGACCAGCGGGGAGCGGGCCAATGGATGGCGCCCCTTGGCCGCCACCATTGGGGAAGCTGCAGCCCAGACCAATTCCCATGACACAGAAGAGATTGGCTCGGCCAGCTGAGGGGTAGAAAGAGCATAGCGCCATCGATTCCCTGTGCTGGTTGCATAAAATCACTGATGCAAGGGTTCAGGGTCTGGACTTCTCCGAATTCAAGAGCACCGCCACGACCCCGCGATTTCAGGTTCCTGTTGGCGCCTTTTTCGGGCCCAGCCAGCTTCTGAAGCCAGGGACGCGCATCCTCAATCGTCTGTCCAGTGAAGATAGCTGCCGGGAGTTGTGATGTTGTGTTGCAGCCTGAAAACGCCAGGGTCGCACAGCTTCCGGATTCACTGATCACTGACATCGCAGGACCTATGGAGGTTTGGAGCGAGGTTGGCGTCTGTTAGTGGCGCCTGCAAGACACGTGTTGGATCTCAGTCTGGCACCCTTCTCGAAGGGGAGCTGAAGCGGCGCAGCCATTGGTGCAGAGCCGCAGCCCAAGACTGGAGGCCTGTCAATGTTCCCGTCCTTGTCGATCGCCATCACTAACGCCACAAACGGTCAACACCGCGATGGTCCTGCCATTTTCGACTGCTTGCAACTCCCTGTTCTCATCCGTCCGTCTTGACCGCGAACACCTTTAACCCTGACTGTACACTTCTGCCAGGGGTGTGAATTTTGTCTCTTTGGAGCTCACTCGCTACCATCAATCTATTCACTTGGAGATTGAGTTGTTGGCTCGGCATCAGAATCCTGCTCAGCGATAAAGAACCCTTCCAAGGAGTCGAATGCTAGATCGAATGCTAGATGGACCATGATACACGCCTTGAAGAGGGACATGGGCGACTTGCTGGTGCGCAAACGAAGCTGCTCTCGAACGAACGGCCAGTTGCAAAGAAACGATGCGCTGAACTCGGAAGCCCCTGAAGAAGGACAACCCAGGAATGTCACTCCAAGGCGGCATCCATCTAGGACGTGGAGGAGCCCTCTAGCATCAAGCCCGTCGACTGTTGGAGCAAATATGCATGTCATTGATGGGTTGAAAAGAGGTGGGATCCTCCACAAAGACCAAAGGGGCCATCTCAGGTCGAAACGCCCGCCGGGAATATCCTTTCCCATGCCCGCAGCCAACTCTGCACTTGTCGCCAATTCTGCGCAGCTGTGCGTCTTGCTTTCAAGAGGCATCATCCCCCAGCTTCCAGCAGTTGCTGATGACGAGACAAATGGCAAAAGCAAAGATATAGCTGTTAAGCTGCTCGCCGTCGTCCAAGTGGCTCATCTCGTTGTTTAGCGATACGCAAGGCCAAACAGGTATCTCAACTGTACTTGCCCCAGTTGCACCATCCCCAACGACCACCATTATCATAATTCGGCAGTTGCTGGGTTATAAGCGATGAAATCAGCTTCAACATTGGAGGGTTGATTCTTGGCGCGTGTTGCTGCATTGCTTGGATCTTAGCTTCCTGATACGATGGAGCAGAAGCTGTGGCGCGTTTGCTGGACCTCCAGAGTGGCTGCCATCCAGACATCTTACATTGCTCTTCCCTTGCTGTTGAACAATCTTACACGTCTCGTGAAAGTCGAAGGATCTTTCAGCGGGTGGTCTTGTCCGTTTCCTATTTCTTGTACATTCTGTGTAGGCTTTTCACCCTCGCTGTAGTCTCAGGCCACCCCCCGCCACTGGTAGATGCGTTTGCTTCAAAGCTGCTGATATGCCCCATGTCGGGTGACAGAAGAGCTGCAAAGTACATCAAGAGCATGTTTCTTCTTCCCCACGTTGGGTCGATGTCAGGGGCTCACCCTGGTGGACATGGCCCACAACGCCGTGAATCTTCCAGGGGCAACCCATGATAGGTCTTCACAACTCTACAACCACATCACCACAACGACCGATTAGCTCAGTTGGTCAGAGCGTCGTACTAATATACGAGATCACTCCATTATCAAGTCATGCGAAGGCCGAGAGTTCAAGCCTCTCATTGGTCATCCGTTGTTTTCGGGACACCTCATTCTTTTTTGTTGTTTGTTTTTGGGTATCATAATGGCAAGTGCCTTTTCGAGAGTAATGCCTGGTTCTTGAAAGTCACTTGAGAAGGCACTGAAAGTAGAGTCGCCCAGGGCTTGGTTCGTTTTGCTTTTCAACCTTTTCCAACATGTTGGGTCAGAGGGGAATTCCTGTCAGGACTTGAGCTCTACTGATGTGTCAAGGAGTCACGATTTGAGACAGACGACGAGTATTCTGGCTTATCGTTGATCCGCTTCACTCGAAACTGAACTAAATCTTAACGGCCTTAGCGTACCTGATATGACTGAGATGTCGTTGTGATAGAGTCAAAGCCGAAATGACCAGCAAATGTCGTGACTGTGGGCCAAGGTGTGGAGCTTTTGGGGTTGTGGGAAGCGCCAAGGCGGGAGCCAAGTCGGTCCATTGAAACTCAAAACGATAAAACGGCTGGCTGCGACCCAACTTAAATGCCTTGACGAGAAAGTAGCGAAGCTGCTTTGAGCGCGCAAGTAGCGATCGGGATATATTCGCTGCACATGTCAATATCAATGCCGTCGGTCGATCTGCGCAATGCCGCGGTGTGGTCGCACTGGGGTGGTGGTGCAAATCCTCGGGCGTGTTCCACTGCGGGGCAAGCAGCTCCGGACCTGGTTTGCTGGCAGCTGTCACGACAGGCAGGTCGGCGGTCCACCGCCCTGTACATTCGGGACGTGAAATAAACAACCAACATCCTCAGGCATGGAATGCCACGGCGGCATCAGAGTATTTATTCCTCTGCCTGAACGAAGCGACTGCGATTGATGGATATGCCCTCTTTGGTGAGTTCGATTTTGCGATCTTCTCGCCCCTGTGTTCTGTCATCGTGACTGCTTTGGGTGAGCATTGTGCTGATGGCTAAAAATAGAAGCAATATTTTCTCGAATGGGAACGCGCTCTCAGGGGAGCGGCCGACTTTTGCTGGAGCTCCAAGCTCAGCACAGGCCAGCCGAGCAGGCCACCTCCCTTCTGCCCGTCCGCCTTCTTTTTTTCGGACGACCGTGGGAAAGCTTGTGGTCTGGGCCAGTGACGTCGCGATCTGGCTTGTGTCGTCAATGGCGCCCTTCGCGTATCGACGGTTTACGAAGCTTGATCGAGGCGTTGGAATTATTTTAGGGTGGTTCTGGTTCCATAGAGAGAGCAACCGGGCGGGACTTTACGGGGCGCTGTTTGACGGGAAGGCGGTGCAGATCCGGAATTGGCTCCCTATTGCGGATTGGTGAGAAGCACGGGGCACGACAGGGCTGGGGGAAAGCCGGTGCGCTGGGCCCGGGGACCGCCAATGCTCGCTGCAAGAAGCGTCCACTGGCACCACAACGACCTGCTGAGCAACCTCCAGCGGCTGGCGGGCCACAGCATGAGCACACACAATTTCCGGGACACTGCGGCTATCGAATGGGGAAAGCCACAGGGCTTGCGTGCTCTCGCAGCTGGCACTTGCTGCCTTCGACCCATGGGCATGTCTCACCCGTCCACGTGGACGGAATGGGCGCTGTCCCGCGCGGTCTGGGCCCCGGACCATGTTGGTCGCGGGCTCGCGGTGCCCGAAAAAGAATACAAAAGTATTTGAGGCTCCAGCAAATATGCTGATGACGTTGAAGGTGAGCTTCGTCTGACACCGGACGGGCTGCGCTGGCGGGAGCTTACTGCCATTTGACATCTCACTGCAGCGACCCATCCAAGTTTCGAGAATTCGGGCGCAGGTCATCTCAGCCCGGAAATTTCCCAAATCCAATCTCAGCACCCCTCGTCGCCTGCGGCCACTCAGGGGGCGGACGTCCAGTCGGGCACCGCCACTACGACCAGGGTTGTCAACGCGCTATGCTGGGGTGGAAGAAAAAAAACAAGAGCAACGTTTTTAAGCAGCGGTCTGCCACACCGTCTCTCAAGTCGCACCCATTCTCTCGATCTTCAGATTCTTCAGCATCCAAAAGATCGGATTCCAGTTCAGGAGACATAATTTCACACGCAAACATAACAATGGAGTCACTCAAGAGACTAGCGAGTGTCCGGCGCACGCCGGGCCCGAGTTCCACAACACCGCCAGCACCGGCCAGCGCTCCGATAGCCGAGACACATTCCGAGACACCGGCCGCCCCAAGAAAATCTGATGCTCACCCGGAGCCACCCCGCATTATGGTTGAGCGGGCCGATAGCATTCTCGTCGATTACTCGGACCCCACGGCCGCCATGGCTACCGCCGCAGCAGAGATGGTTGTGAGCCTGGTCCGGCGCGCCAAGAGCACCCGCGAGACGCGGCGTGAACGCAAGCCGCCTCCGGTTTCGTTCTCTGGCATCAACCCTAGCACCAGTGTCCAACGGTCACGCAGCTTCGACCTCCCATCGCACCCCGCCGTTCGCCCTATGCCACAACGGCGCTCCACGGTCAAGGAAATGGGAACTGTGAACCAGCTCGCTGCGGACACTGGCCTCAAGAAGCGCCCCAGCATCCTCAACCGCTTCCGATCCCTCCGCGGCCGCCCGGCTCCCATTCAGCCCACGCCCTACTCCGAGAAGCCTGCGGCCAAGACCCCTACCGACGCACACTTTGTGTCCCGCCCCAAGCGTGGCGCCCTCGATCTTTCCGAAGTCGCCCACACCCTCGCCGTCCCTCGTGACAGCCAAGACGCCAAGCCTCGCCGCTCCTCCATCGAAAAGCCCCCTCTTGAGCAGGAGGAGCAGCAGCCCCGCGAGCAGCGCCCAGTCGTCCTCGTTGACGCCCCTTACCCGTCCCCGCCTCTCTCCAGCCCCCGCCAGAAGGGCGAGTGCTCCCGATGCCACTCTAAGCGCGTCCAGCGCGAGCACTCCGTGCGCAAGCTCACAGGGGAGGTCCCGCCTCGCGTCACCATTAGCACCTCGCCTACTGTCGATGAGAAGCTCTCCGATCCGCTGGAGGATTACGGGCTCTTCACACGCTCTGCTGCATCCGAGAAGGCGGAGGAGGCGAATGCATTTGGCAATGGTGGCCTGTTGGTTCCCAATGGGAATGACGGGCAGCGCAAGGGACATACCAAGTCTGCGCCGAGCTGGGCGAGCTATCGGGATGGGGATAGCGACGAGGAGAAGGTGCAGGCACATCGGAAGTCGACGCTGCAGCCGTTGATCCCGGTCAAGGCGAAGGAGGTGGAGATCGCGGGGAAGGAGTCGCTGGTGCCGCAGGTGACAGTGAAGAGGCAGAGGAGTGTTGCGCAGAGGATTGTGGATAAGTTTAGGCCTTCCAGGAGGGGGTCGGTGAAGCCGCAGAGGGTTTTGACTGCGTAGGGCATGATGTGGAATGAGACGAGGACGAGATGGATACGATCGTTTTGACAACCAATTTCCTTTGTTTACTATTATCGGTGGAGGCGGAGTGTAATACCTGAGTTTGGTTCACAGTACAACACAGACTGGACGTAATGGATGAGAGCTTGTGTTTGGCTTTGACGTTTTGGATATCATGGGTGGCGTTCAGGGTCGGCGGTTAGCTTTCAGTCAGCTTCCATGCAAATAGATGAACTTTATGTTTACTGCATCTTTGTTTTCTTGGGCCTCTTTGCTTCGTTTGTTGTGAGTTGGGTTCGTCAGGGGTAGGGCATGAAGTCTGCTAGGTCAAGCTGTCGGGGTCCGTGCACCAGAGCATCAAGAGTGGAGTCTTGGCGTGGGATGGGGGAATTCTTGCTCCTGGCATCGTCTGCACTTTGCAGGCGACCGTTGCATTTCGACGACTTATCTACGGCAGCACTGCGGCTTTTGGTTGGAGATTTTACAACTCAATGGAGGCTCACAAGTCGGCTGTCGAAGCTGTCGCGTCACGGACACGGCAGCTGTTCGAGACGCGGACACCGTTCAGAGTTTACCATGGTTCCACAAACAGCACCCGTCGCTCGCAGCGCCGCCTGGACAACACCGTCGATACCAGCGGCCTCAACCGTGTTGTCCACGTTGATACGGCCAAGAAGACGGCACTCGTGGAGCCGAACGTACCAATGGACGCCCTCGTCGAAGCCACCCTCGAACACGGCCTGGTGCCGCTCGTCGTGATGGAATTTCCCGGCATCACCGTGGGCGGCGGCTTCTCCGGAACATCCGGAGAAAGCAGCTCCTTCCGACATGGAAGTTTTGACTTTACCATCAATTGGATCGAGATTGTTTTGCCTGACGGTGAAGTCGCTCGCGCCTCCAAGACGGAGCAACCGGACCTCTTTTGGGGAGCTGCCTCGGCATTTGGCACGCTTGGTGTTGTTACCTTGCTGGAGGTCCAGCTTCGAGACGCACGGCAGTACGTCGAGCTTCAGTACCGCCACATCGAGGATTTCGATCAAGTTGTCAAGACTCTCCAGGAAGAGACTTCAGAGGGTACGCCCAACGACTACGTTGACGCCATCACCTTCTCTCTCTCATCCACCATCATCTGCACCGGTCGCCTTGTTGACGCCCTTCCCCATGGAAGCAACCCACAACGCTTCCTCCGGTCCCGGGACCCCTGGTTCTCTGTCCACGCTCAGCGCATCCAAAAGCGCTTTCTCGCCGACCCGTCCGCCACAATCACCGATCACATCCCCCTTCGCGACTATCTCTTCCGCTACGACCGTGGGGCGTTCTGGACAGGCCGATACGCTTTCCGATACTTCCTCACCCCATTCAACCGCATCACACGTTTTCTCCTCAACCCCTTCATGCATACTCGCGTCATGTACCGCGCCTTGCATCAGAGCGGTCTATCAGACTACTATGTTGTCCAGGACGTCGGCGTCCCTTACTCCAGTGCCACCGATCTCGCCATCTGGCTCGACCAACACCTCTCCATCTATCCGCTTTGGCTCTGCCCCCTTCGCACCCGCCGCGAGGGTGGTCCCGCCGCGCATCACGGCCTTCACGCCGAGTTTGCTGATCCCGACCGCACGCCAGATGCCCTACTCAACTTCGGAGTCTGGGGGCCTGCTTCGTTCAACCGGAGGGAATGTGT